GAGCACAGAGCAGGGGACAGGAGGGAGGTAGAGGAGATGGAGGAGGAGGCTGCAGGAGGAGGCTCCATGGAGGATGGAGAGGAGCACAGAGCAGGGGAGCAGGGACCAGGAGGGAGGTAGAGGAGATGGAGGAGGAGGCTGCAGGGGAGGATGGAGAGGAGCACAGGGCAGGGGAGCAGGGATCAGGAGAAGGTAGAGGAGATGGAGGAGGAGGCTGCAGGGGAGGATGGAAGATGGAGAGGAGCACAGGCTGGGAGAGGATCATTTTAAGAGATGAGGGACAGAGGGGAGAGGCTGTGTGAGGGGAAACGAGGTAAGTGAAGAGAGAACAGACAGGGGGCGGGGCAGGGGCATGGGTGGCAGGCAGGCTGGGAGAGAAAGGACGAGAAAGATGAGCCAGGTGTGGTATCATGTGTCTATCCCTGCATGGTCAGGAGGCTGAGGCCGAGGGTCTCCGGAACCTCAAGACGGAGTCCAGCCTCAGTGAGACTCTCGTGTTCCCTTCCCCCCCAAAAGAGACTGACCTAAAGGAGCTAGGTAAGCATAGAAGGGACAGAGCCCTTGCGGGACACAGGGCTTGGGGACAGGCAAAGGAGCAGCTTTAGGAAGGAGGGGTAGGGCAAGCGGGTAACCCTCTCCTGGCTTCCAACTCACCTGCAGCTGGCCCAGTTTCCAGCTACTGGGAAAGGGGTTGGTGCTACACCGGACATCCTTCTGAAGCAGCAGTTCTTCCTGAAGAGAAAGGCACAGGTTAGCCCACCCAGGAGAGATGGGGCCTACTTCACAGCAGCCAGAGTGAAACTTGGCCTGGCTCAAGCCTAGCCTGCAGCAGAAGGTTAGAGGTTAGCCCACAGTGGCAGGCTACCATCTTCATCCCAGTAGGAAAGCTGTAGGGTAGCCCATTATGGTAACAGCGACACACCAAAGCATCCTTGGCTTTCTTGAAGACTCCTAGCTCCCATAGTGACACAGACTGGAAAATGCCAATGTGACAGCCTGTTCTGGCTGGAGTGGGCTTGGAAGGAGGGACAGAAGCAGCTGTGGCCAAGCCCAGCACCACCGTCACCAGACTCAGCAGCCGCCACAGTGTAGCCATGCTCAAGTCCCAAGTGTCTCCTGAGCTGCATGGCTCTGCTTTTTAAGGCAGGCTACACGTGCTATCCTTGATGATGTGTCCAAAGCAGAGGGTGGGGTGGGGGGAGGAAGAAGGGAAACGAAAATGCACCCATAAGAGGCACCAGGAGGTGGAGCCAATTCCTGGACCAGGTAGGTGAGCAGGTGTGGGCGTGGCCAGGTGTGTGATGTTGTTCCAGGAAGGAAAGAGAAACAGAATCCAGTGTCCGGAGTCTGCAAAACCATCTCTTTCAGGACACAGAAGGCCAGGGCTCCCCAGTTTAGACTACACTGAAGGGAGGGAGCAGTGGTGGGAACAGGGCAGAAGGTTCAAGGTCACAGTGGGACCCGGAGGTGGAGGGTGGGCGTGTGTGGAACAGACTCCCTGCCTGAGAAGGGTGTCTCATTAAATCCCCACGAATGAGTAATTGCTATTGTGATTGTGTAGATTATTTTTGGGTGTCGTCCGCCTCGTGCTTGAAGGTAGCCAGGTAGCTGGAAAGGCTTCGTTTCTGGGCACTTGAGGGTGTTTGGGGAAAAGGCAGGCCTGTGAGTCAGTGGGCTGTGTGAGGGGGGAGGAGCCTCCTGTAGAGTGAAGGCTTTGACGGGAGGAAGATCTGGAGTTGAGCGCTCTTGGATGTCAGAACTCCACAGACAGAGGCGGCAGTGGGTGAGAGCACTTGCTGGTCTGCAGAGGACCTGGGTTGTCCACGTGGCAGCTCACAAGTGTCTGTAATTCCAGTTCCAGGGTCCCTGATGCCCTCTTCTGGTCTCTGAGGCACAGATGTGGTACAAATGCATACACGCAGACAAACACTCATATACATAAAATAAAAATAAATAAATCTTAAAGACAAAAACAAAACCACGAAACCCTCCACATTCTCTCACTGAGCACGGTGGTCCATGGCTGTCTGCATGTTGTTGAGGGGTACACGCCCTTGTGGCCTGGGATTCTGCTTCTCGGAAGAACCCTGACCTGTATAATGGTTGCCCCTCTTTTCTGATGACTGCCTTGGGGTCCCTCCACTGGTCAGTAACAGCCTAGGGCATGAACTGAATTCTGTTTCACCCCCCATCCCCCACCCCGTGCATGCTGCTGAGAGATAGGGTAAGAGCCTGGACAGAGCTGGAGCTGGGTGTGGTGGTAGGTGCTTTTAACCCCGGCACTCCCGGCACCCCGGAGAGGCAAGCAGGAGGGTTGTTCAGGACCAGACTAGGCTGTATAGCAAGATGGCCGAGGAGCTGGTAAAATGGCTTGTCTCACAAGTGTCGGCCCTGAGTTTGATCTCCAGGACACGTGTTAAAAGCCGTGCAACACTGCATGCCTGCCATCGCTGTACTGCGGGAGGCAGACCGAAGGCTCCGAGTGTGCTGGGAGCCAGCCTAACCCATGGGTAAGCTCCAGGCTCAGTGAGAGACCCCCAAAATAAAACAGTTTGAAGAGCGACTGAGGAAGACACCTGGTAACAGCTCTCTCTCTCTCTCTCTCTCTCTCTCTCTCTCTCTCTCTCTCTCTCTCTCTCTCTCTCACACACACACACACACACACACACACACACACACACAGCCTCAACAGTCAAGGTGTCTCCTTTCTGACTGTTGGGTAACACGGAACAGGAAGGGAGGTCCCGGCTTGCTGGGGACAAAGGCCCTTCCTAGGGCAAGCTGGGGAAGGGTCTGGGGCTCTGCTGGTTCTGGTCACCCCTGGAGTCCTCAGAGCCGCATAACCAGGAAGCAATTGCTGTGATGTGACCGCCGTTTTGATTTCTTCATTTCTTCTCAGTCCTCAGGCCTGAGGTTGTTAATCATCCTTCTCAGATCGCAACACAGAGCCACAATTGGCCCATAAAAGGCTCTCCCATCCCCGCCCCCGCCAGTCCGCCTCCCAGACACCCACTTCAGCCGGCCTGATATACAACTGCCAAGAGGCGCTGTTTTAATTTGTGACTTGGTGTGTCTATGCGTTTCCAATTTACACAAATGAGATTGTGCTATAAATCCACTAACTTTGAAAAAAAATTAAAACTTGACGCTACATGGCTGAGATCTCCCCACACAGCTGCGGACGTCCAGTTCCCCGTCTGTAACTGTGACAGTGTACCCACGGCGCCTGTACTTACCCACTCGCCCAGAGACGGGCATTTAGGTTGCCTCCAGCTCCCCGTTCCCGTAAGGCCCACACCTGTCCTCTGTGTGGGAGAGTTTTTAGAGTCCTCTGCGGCACACCAGCTGGTACCCTCCCACCACATCCCATGGGCACACTTTTGCACTCACTCGTGGGAAGGGTGGGCAGTCCCCACACAGTGACAGCTTCCCACCCATGTGCCCAGATCTCGCTGCTCCTCCAGGTCTCTCTACTGTGTGGATGCAGAGCAGACCGGAAGCGGAAGTACCATTAGTACTTTCTTCAGGAGCAATCCCTACCCAGGGACCCAGCCAGAAATTAAATGTTACAGCTTTCAGGTTGGCGGGCTGGCTCCGTGGCTGCAAGCGCTTGCAGCCAAGGCTGACCACTCAAGTTCAAAACCCAGAACCCACACGGTGGGAGGAAAGACTCCTGCAATTTGTCTTCTGACATTCCACCTCCACCAAAAATGAACACAATAAATAAATGTAATTTAATAAAAAAATAAATGCAATTTAAACATACAGCTTCTCTGTCAGTTTCAAGATGGAGATGATTTCTGCATCATCCAAGTGCCCTGACTATCTCAGGGCTGGGAACGGGGTGAGAGAAGTGAATGGCATAAGATGTAGAATTTAGGGTGCTCACTGGGGTGGGCAAGTAAGTCTCTCCCACTACTCTAGCCTGTGCCTGCTGCACGACTTCATGAGGAGTCTGCTTCTGTTCACCCCAGATGGAGGGAGCAATAACAGACCAACGAAGGATCCCTAAGTCCAGCTTGGGGAACCAGAGTTGTTTGGGAGTTACTCACAGGATTCTGAGGGACCACCCCCCCCACCCCCCGCCCCCCGCAGCTGCATCACAGAAAAACCCACGCCAGCATGGGTGAGGACTCACAAAAGCTGTGCCCTGTACCACCTATGGGCAGCTCCACCCAAGTGTCCCCCCCCCCCCCCAGCAACTGCTTACTGCCGATGTCACTCCCTGGAGGTCCCCTTGACTCGGTAAGTCACTGGTTTTTTGTTCTGTGTTCCAGTTCTCCACCCACTTTTGGGGGCGGGGCACCCCCCACATCTCACACCTGTGTCCTGTCCCCTAGGCTTTGGAGAGAACTCAAGCTCACACGTGCAAATTCAGGAGGAGGACTATGATGTCATGGGGCCGCAGGTCACGCCTGTGTCTATATGGTCTACTTCCCTACACGATGGAGCGGTTGTGTCTCTGTCCCCTCCAGGACAGCACAGTCGCTCTCCATGTGGGTAAACTCCACACCCACAGAGCCAACCCACTGAGGAGTGTTGTGGGATTGTTTTGTTTAGTTTAACTGAGTCAGGGTCTCATTGTGCAGCCTGGCTGTCCTTGAACTCACTCTGTAGACCAGGCTGGCCTCAGACTCACAGAGATCTGCCTATCTCTGCCTCCCGAGTGCTGAGACTAAAAGCATGCACCACAGCTTCTGGGTTTTGCCTTTTTTTTTTTTTTTTTTTTTAAATTTTTTTTTTTTTTTTTTTTTTTATCCTTTTTTTTTTTTTTTTTTTTTTGTCTCATGCTATACCCCAGACTACAGAACCATGCACCCCAGGCTAGCCTTGGCTTTGTGAGTAATCCTCTTGCCTCAGCCTTCTGAATGCTGGGATTATGGGCCTGTGCCACCACTGGATCCAGCTATGGACTAGAAAGAGACAAACTGCATCTGTACTGAGGCTGTGCAATGTTTTTTTTTTTTTGAGACAGTGCCTTCTTATGTAGCCTGGACTAGCCTTGAGCCTCGAACTCAGAATTCTCTTGCCTTAGCTGCTCCAGTGCTGAGAATACAAGCATGTGGCCCCACACCTGGTTACATCCCTGCCCTCTCCTCTCAAAACTGATCCAGGGGGCTTGAGAGATGGCTTAGTAGACAAGGTGCTTGCTGTGCAAGTGTGAGATCATGAATTAGGACCCCGCACCCGCCTAAGCGGCAGGAGCCTGGCACAGCGGCAGGAGCCTGGCACAGCAGCAGGAGCCTGGCACAGCGGCACGTACCTGGAATCTCATCACTGGGGAGGCAGAGACAGGAGGATCCAGAAGCTTGCTGGGCAGCCAGCCTAGCCAGATCGCTGAGCTCCAGGCTTGGTGAGAGACCCTGTTTCAAAAAGCTAGGTGGAGGATCTGGAGAGATGGCTCAGGGGTTTGCAGCATGGACTGCTCTAGCAGAGGACCTGGGCTGGGCTCCCAGCACCCACGTGGTGGCTCACACTGTCTGTAACTCCAATTCTAGAGGATCTGATGCCCTCCTCAGGCTTCCTTGGGCTCCTGCACACAAGTGGTGCCCATGAACTCAAGCAGGCACATACACATAAAAATAAATCTGGGGGGAGGGGAGAGAGAAAGGGAGAACTTTGTAAAAAGTTAGGTGGAGACTGGGCATAGTGATGCACCCTTTAATCCCAGAGGCAGGTGGATCTCTGTGACTTCTAGGCCAGCCTGGTCTACAGAGTGGGTTCCAGGACAAACAGAGATATATAGTGAGATCCTGTCTTGAAGAAAGAAAAAAAAAGTTAGGTGGAAAGTGATCGAGGAAGTCACCCTTTGTCAACCTCTGGCTTCTGCATGTAGTTGTACATACACTTGAACACACACGTGCACACCACGCAACATGTACACACACAAGAATTAAAAAATGAAACAAAATAACCTGTTCTACAAGCTGAGCACATGCCTGTACCACCAGCGCGAGGGAAGCTGAAGAAAGAGGAAGATTGTGAGTTTGCGGTTAGCCTGGGCTACATAGCAAAACTCTGTATCAAAACAAAACTCATCCAAAAGAGCAACACGAAATGCCGACAACAAGGAAGCCAATAGGAAACGGGTAGAAGACAAGAGCGGATAAACAGATAGTTAGTGGAGGAAGAGAAACACACAGAAGCCCACATGGAAACCATTAGTGAAAATGCAAACGAAAAGCCGTGTTGAGCTCCCACTAGGAGACCAGTGGGATGACTAATAAGGACAGGAATAAACGCTGTTGAGCTTGAAGGAAGATGCTCTCGCACACACGGCTGGAGGAAATAGGATGCTACAGACAAGTCAGATTTCAATACCTCTGTGTCTCTTTCTTTTGAAAATTACTTGGGGGGGGGCGTGGTGAGGGTAGGTCAGTTCTCTCCTTCCACCACTTGGTTCTCAGATTTGAACTCAGGTTGTCAGGCTTGGTGGCAGGAACCTGAACCATCTTGCCGGCTTTTTTTCCCCTTTCTCTTTATTTTGAGTTCTTGCTGTGTTGCCCAGCTGTCAGGTGTCATCAAACTCCTGGGTTCAAGCTTTCCTTCGGCCCCACCTGAGCGGCTGGGGCTACAGATTCACGGCACTGTGCCCAACAAGAGACACTCCCGACACTCACCAGAGGATGGACCACTCTTTGGGGAGGAAGGCTTTCCCTCTTTGATAACGTTTTTATAGTTAGTGCACAGAATAATGGGTTTCATTATGACATCATTACATGTGTCATTTTTTTTTATTTTATAATTAAAAATGATATTTTTGATTTTTTTTTAATTTTATGTATGTGGGTGTTTTACCTGCCACATGTCTGTGTAACACATACATTCAGTGTCCTGAGAGATCAGAAGACCTCCAAGCCTCTGGAACTGGAGTTACCAAGGGCTGTGAGCTGCCATGTGGGTGCTGGGTACTGAACCCAGGTCCTTGGAAGTGCAACAAGTGTTCTTAGCTGCTAAGTCATCTCTCCAGCCCCTTGCTTTTAATTTTAATTAGGGGGGGGGGCGTGTCTCTGCACATGTGTGCAGGTCCTCAGGCCTACCAGAAGAGGGCGTCGCTCCACTGGGGCTGGAGTTCCAGGCGGTTATGACTCTCTTTCCCCCCTCACGCCCCCCACTGTTCTCTTTCCCGTTCCAAGTAATTCCTCTTGTGCTTTTATGGCTTTGCTACATACGCTGCTAAATGTAGATTCTGCGTGAGGGAGAAATTCGTGATATTTGCCTTTCTGAGTCTGGTTTAATTCGCTTGACACGAGGCTTTCCAGTCCCATGCATTTTTCCTGCAAATGGCACAGGTTCATCCTTCCTTGCCAGGAGCATGGGTTTTAACCATTTCCTCTCGCCGCCGCAGCGATTCTCATCGCATGGATCACCTGGGATCTTGTCCTGCAGGCACGTTCTCTGAGTCAGTATTTCTGAGGCCGGGTCCGTGCTGCAGGCAGGCCTCCATCACTCTCTGGGATCAGAACAGTTGGACCTGGAGATGGGGTAGGCCACTGCACCAGTCACGCCCGTGGGACTGTCGCCCGTGTCCCCTGTCCCTCCGTCTGCAGAGTTCCCCAGGGAGCGGCCAGGAGACCATTCTGCTGACGTAATCGCAGGGCGGGGTGAGTTAGGAAGGGAGTGGGGAGATGCCTGGTGGGCGGGGCTAGAGGATGACGGACAGAAGACCGGATCTGAAAGAGAAACCCAGGAGGAGACTGGAGCCAAGCTTGGAACCCTGACTGGAAAATCCTCAGAACCCAGAGGGTGGTGGGAGGAGAGGAAGTTGCCCTGACTCACCCCGAATTTCTAGCGATGGCGAAGGCACATAGCAAGGAGGGAGATGTTTTTAAAGAAATTGGGGCACGGAGGAGGCCTTTCTTGGAATCTTAGGGGACACATGTAGGAGTTTTGGGGGGATGCCAGAAGAAAGATGATGGGTTTGGATGACTTGTGCCACACACCCGTAATAAATAATGATGACAATGACTATGTTTCATGAAATGTGCCAGAAAACGGGTTTTTCTTTTTTTTTTTCCCCTCTTTAGTTTTTTTTTTTTTTTTTCCTTCGGAGACGGGGTCTCACTAGCCCTGAAACTCTCTATGTAGAACAGGCTGGCCTGGAATTTACAGAGATCCCCTGCCTTTGTCTGAGGGCTGGAATTAAAAGCCTATGCGGCCAGCAGCTCCGCATCCCCCTTTTATACAAAACCCCAGGTAGTCCAGGTTGGACTTGAACTGTCTGTGTCATCAGGGATGACCTTAAATTCTTGATCCTCCTGCCTCCACTTCTGGAGTGCTGGAATTGCAGGCATGAACAACCTAGTCCTGCTCAAACCCAAGGCTTTTTGCATGCTAGACAGGCACTCTACCCCTTCTGGAATCT